TTGCCCTGATGAACTGAGTTCAAGGCATATGATGGCATTAGCCTGTCAATGCTGAATAACCCAGCCTGGCTCAGGTGTGCCCTGTTAATCTGTGTGTGTATGTGCATATATGTGTTTGACTGATTTGGTGGTTGAAGGAACCCAGCCCCATTGAAACAGTCCTGCAAGACAGCTCCATTGGGGGTGAGGACTTGCAGAAGGGAGAGATACAGCTCCATATAGAAACTCAAGTAACACAAGCAGCATATTGATAGAATTACAGAAACCCCAGAAATGTACCCCTAATAAATGAGTGCACCCCAAAATGATGGGCAAATCTGGTAACATTGCATACTTGAGCAGAGGCATAGAGCAGATAGCCCAATAAAAGTTTAAAGGGCACTACAGAACAATAGAGGCAAATACTAATTACAGGATGTTAAAAGGATACTTTTGAAAGTCTTCATCATAGACACTTGTTAGAACAAGTACCTGTTCTGAAAAGTTACTATCAAAAGAATCTGCTAATATTTTTGAGGGAAGGCACTGCAATGGCTTCCCTCAAGCCAGCTCAGAAAGGCCAAAGAAAATTACATACTGTGATTTCCAGATCCCCTTTGTGTGGATATTACACACCCTTCCCCCGAACAACATCATATAACAGGGTCCCAAAAAATTATACACATCTTGAATACTGCATACAGTTCTAGCCACCCTATCTCCAAAGAATTATACAAGAACTAGGAAAGGTATAGAGCAGCGGTTCCTAAATTGTGGCATGCATACCCCTGGGGGGTTGCAGAACAAATTGTATAACAGCAATTTAATTTTTGTTATAATAATAATTGGCATTTAAGGAGTTAAAATATTCTGGTTGGGGTATGTGAGCAGCTGGTAAATCTGGAAGGGGGCACTCAGTAAGAAAAGGTTTGGGAACCTCTGGTATAGAGAAAGGCAATGAAGGTGACTGGGAGTATGAAAGGGCTTCCATATGAGAACAGACCACAAAAGCTCAGTCTCCTCAACTTGGAAAAGAGGAAATGTGAGAGAGAGCTATAAAATCATGAATATTGTGGCAAAAGTCAATAGGATCTTTCCTGTATCTCATAATACAAGAACTGAGTGCAGCTGGCGACTGTAGCGGGCAAACTGAATTATGCTAAGGCTCATAGCCATAGTTTAGGCCTTTCTGGAACTGAGCAATAAAATTTTACGAAGTGCCTTATAAGGCAATGGGAAAAGTAAGTGCTGTGATTGGTATGGTAGGTGAACCAGGCATAGGCAGATTAACGGACAGGCCAGGTGGCCCTGGGCCCACAGGCCACTACTAATCAGGGACCCTAGGATTCTCATCAGCAGGGAACCAAAAACCATGGTTTTAAACTTGGCACCATTTTTGTCTCCTGACAGGGACACAAAATGGGGAAACACCAAGTTTAAAACCATGTTTCCCTGAGCTGGAATAGGGTGTGTGAGGAAGGCCAGGGCCAGGCCAGGCTGGGAGCACCACACCACACCTTAGACTGGTAGGGGCAGGCCGGGAGCAGCACACCATGTATCTACAGGTAGGCAGTGGTGCTGGGGAGAAGCTTGGGGGGCTACAGCCCTCCCAAAATTCATCATAACCCCCGCTGTAGCCACCCCTCCCAGTGCTGCCACCCACCCACAGAGATAGCATGGTGCTCCCGGTCAGCCTGGCCCTGTGCATCTGTGGGGCCACACGGGACACAGCGAGACAGCAGCTCCCTCCAGGTAAGTCTAACAGGGGCCAGGCAGGGAAGTAGATAGAGCCGAGGACAGCTTATGGGGGGGCTGCCTCCGAGTGATCAAGGGTGGGGGAGAGGGGAAGTCCTGTGAGGGGAAAGTGTGTGTCTGGGTATGCGCGTGTGTCTGATGTTGCAGGGAGAGGCTGAGCCAGTTCAGAAAGCTCCCGTGGAGGCGCCACGAGGCCTCCAATTTTCCCTTTGCCCAGGGCCCCAAAAGTCCTTAATCCACTTCTGGAACCAGGTATAAGTTTCCCTAGAAGGAAACATAACCAAAAACTGGTGTACCTTATCTAAAAGAAGACTGGACAATTTGGGATGAGAGAGTTACAAAAGTAATGAACAAACAAAGGAAAGGAATGTGTCCATCCTGTGACCCTGGGGAAACAGATGCAGCTGTGGTTTCTTTGCTCAAGCAGAGGCAAAGCAGGAAACAAATATCCCACATGCCCAGAGGAGGACCCAAGGCATGGTACCCCTGAAGGTCACTGCTGAAATGTCCAAGAACTGTTTGCCAGGTCATACTGTGGGAAGGAAACCTGTAATAGTGCCTAGAGGTTAATATTAAAGTTCACTTGACACCAATTCAGATGAGGCGCCATGTTAATCCTTGGGGGGCTTGGGCAAAAAGAATTCTATTGGTAATAGTGACATAATAAGGCTGAAGGATTAAAACAAATGAGTTTAAAAAAATGCACAGTGAATATGTGGAATTCATTACCACAAGATCTCATGAGGCCAACTGCATCCGTGGGTTTCATTTCTGGAGGACAGGTCCATTGGGAACTATTAAGCACAATCGTTAGGGAGGCAACTGACCCATGGCCCCAAGGAGCATAGAATGGGAGGGGGGTGGGTCATTCTACCCAGATTCTTATCATCTCCCAAATTCTTATCCTCTTCTTAAAGCACCCACTACATGCTGCTAGACAGGGGCTACACAGGGCTGGCCATGCCTCCAATCTGCCCCAGACTGGCAATTCTCCACATCCTTCAGCTTGGCTTAAATGCAAAAGCAGCGATTCCAGGTAGAGCCTTAAGTAACAGTAAAAATAAATAAATAAAAGACCACAGAGGAGGAAACTGGACACAGTCTTTGCCTGAACTCTAAGGACCTTATTATATAGTAATTTTAGGGAACTCCTGGAGCTCTTAACTAGGGCTATGCGAAACACCATTTCATTTCAATGTCCGTTTCACCGTTTCAAAAGGACAGTGTTTCATTTTGTCATTTTGTTTCGTTTCAAAGCACTGTCCTGTTTTGTTTTGCCGTTTCAATGCATTTCAAAGTTCCGCCCATAGGCTATAATGGGGAATCATGAAAATGCCTAAAACTTTGTCGTTTCTTGCCTGATTCAGATGAAAAATGGAGGGATTATTAGCCCCTTCTGAGGGAATGAAGCCTGCCAATTTCAAGGATATAGGTGCAAAGGTTTCTCAGAAACTGCACCTCAAACTGCAAAAAGCAAAACTTGTGATAATTGCTGGCAGTGGCAGCCAACTGTCATCCAGCATGGAGATCCATGGGCCCGCGCCCCCGGAAGGGCTGCGGGGCTGTGCCAGACTCCTCCCAGGGGTGCAAGCTCCCAGATCTGTGCACCAGATGACAGGAGGCCGCTGCTGCCACCTGGGACCAGTGCTGGGTGCAAGTTGCACCCAGCACCGGGAAAGACTGATACTGTTGCTGGCCCCAGGCAACAGCGGCAGCCTCCTGTCTTCTGGTGCACAGATCTGGGGGCCCACACCCCAGCAAGGGCTGCGGAGCTGTGCTGGACTCCTCCCAGCTGTGGAGCTGCTCAGAGTGCAGCCTGGTGGCGGAAGGCGGGGAGAGCCAAGGGTGCACTTCGATCAACTCTGCCAGCCCCACGGAACTCAGAGCAGTGGCAGGAGGGGTGGGAGAGCCAGGGCTGCGCTCCACCTCCTGCCTCCAGGCTGCTCTATGGGGCTGCGGAGCCACTCGGAGCACAGCCCTAACTCTTCCCAGCCTCCTGCCACTGGGCTGCTTCGAAACTTGAAACATTTAAAAATGTTCCGAGTGCCATTTCATTTCGAAGCTGTTTCAAAGCTTTTTGTTTCATCTTAAGTTTGCTGTTTCGAGCTCAAAACAGCTTTGAAATGAAACATTCAGTGAAATTTTGCACTGCCCTACTCTTAAGCCCTGGGTGGGCCACAACTTAACACCTTCAAGTTGCTTAAAGCACTCTTTATCCTGCATCAAGTTCTGCCACTCCAGGGCAGGATTATCTCTTATCTTCATGACCTGGGTCAGTGGGAGGTTTACTATACATTACCTTGGCAGGTACTATCCCCATGCCAGAAGAGCGGTCTTCCCTGGGCATGACTAGGAAGACTGCCTCAGTGGTCACAGTGTTTCCCTTGCCAGGTAAGCATAGGCTACGCTTGATCTGGACTGAGAAGGCCATTTACATCTCTTTTTTTTTTTTTTAAATTTTCGTGTTCCAAGCAAATCAAGTCCAAATCCATGAGTCAATCCAGAACCATAAGTGGCCCTACAACAGGCAACATCCTCCACCCCCACTAGGGGCTCCAGATATTTCCAAAAATCTTTTGGCAGGCATCCTACTTGCAGGCCCAATCCCAGAAGCTTGGGGTATGGATGCCCTCAAGTTTTGCCTGCCCTCAGCCACATGGCCCTAGGAACAATCTAGGGAGAAGCCTCCCACTTCTATAAAATGGGCATTAAACCCCAACACCTCAGCAGGTACTAAACCATGCCAGAAGAACAGTTATCCCCAGGAGGCTTAAGGAAAACTGTCCTGTTGGACCCAGATACATGGTGTTTCCCCTACATCCATTTTTTAAATTAATATATCATGGGCAACTGGTACCACCTGCCCCACCAGCAACCAGTCAGCAACTGGTGGGGGGAGCCTCCAACTGTTGGGCACCAGCCATGGTGTCCCCAGCAGAGACTGGTACGGCAGCACCTCAGGGACTCAGTGGTTCAGAGGCACTAGCATGCACGTTGCTGCATGAGAGGCACAAGACAGCATGATGATGGGTTACACAGGGGAAAGTGAAACGTGGGAGCAACATAGCGCCCGACCCTGCCGCAGACGATTGCTTACGTCACGCACCTCGAGACTCCGCCCTGTGTAGCTCCGCCTCCTGCCCGATTGCGTCACCAATCGGTAACGCGGCCCCACTCATCATTCCCTGCCATCCATTGCTCCGTGATCTCCCCCCACCCCTGCAAGGCAGCTCAGCCGAGCACCGAACCACTGATCGAGAAGGGCGTTAAACTCCCGCGCATGCGCACTCCACCAAGCAGCAATGGCGGCGCCCGCGCTGCCCACCCCACAGCACCACCACGTGGGGCCGCACGGGCCCTTCCGCGACGTGTACGAGCCGGCTGAGGACACCTATTTGCTGCTGGACGCGCTCGAGCTAGATGCGTCCCAGCTACGAAACACCCGGTGCGCGCTCGCTAACGAGGAGAAGAAACCACTTGCGGTTGGGGGGGGGGGCTGAATAACCAATGGGAGGAGCCGATGCCGCTTGTGCAGCGGTGCTATTGGGCTAGTAGCCTTAGCCCTCCGTGTCCTATTGGCTGCCTGCGAGCGCGGGAGGGGGACCGGACAGCCAATGGGGGGAGCTGAAGACGTGCTGCGAGCTCGTGCTTCGGTACCATCCAGTTGTGCCTGCTTCCACCCACCGCTTCCTATTGGGTGCCAGTGAGCACGGGAGGGAGACTGCAGAGCCAATGGGAGGAGTCGAGGTGGGTGCGGGGGGCGGAGCCAGCAGTCATTTGAGGGGCGGGGCTTGCCTCAAGCTCCTGTGCGGTTGGGCTGTATCATTGGCTGGGCCCATTTGGAGCCTGCAGCAGTGGGGGGAGCTGGGGCAGGGTGGCAGCTCCCAGTCCGGGGGCACCAAGCCCATGTGTGGGACCCTACCATTGGCAGCAGCACCCAGTCAGGCTGAGGGTAGCTCAGGGTGCCTCCATGAGCCCCTGCAGATCCCAGTATGGGGCTTCCCTGCACCTACTCCTGGAAACCTACCCTCCCTTCCTCAGCCAGGAGGGCAGGCAGGCAGGCTGCCCGGTGCCTGGGGCGGGCATGCTTATCTCTGTGACTCAGGATCAGGAGCCACATTCCCAGCCACCCATTCAAAGGAAAGCTGGATAGAAGTCAGCGCTAGAGGCGTCACATGTGCAGTGATGGGCCCAGCTCCACAGGGCCCCCCAAAGCATGGGGCTTGGGGTGGTTGTTCTGATTTGCACTGCCCTGGGGATGGCCCTGATGCTGAGAAATGTCTCTGCTGCTGCAGGATCTACAGCACCATAGCTGGATATAGCTGTCCCTGAGTTTTTAATGTGCTGATGCTTAAATTGAAACACCAGCCACCGTGGATGCTATTCTGAACCATTTCCTGCTTTAGAGGACACAGATTTGCTACAGCTAGGTTTGCCAGTGCAAAAAGGAGTGTGGGTTTTCATGCCTCTGTGTAGGTTTACTACATAATAGTAACAAATTTACATTTGATGGTAATTTTTTGCTAAACTTAAGATTACTTTCTAACATAATCCTCAGAGAAAAAAAAATTCTTCAGTTACAGTGTGTCCCTGCCATCGTTAATCTATCTTTATTGTGCAGGGAATGGATTGCGTTTCTCTCTCATTCCTTATTCCAGTAAGTTGTTTTATGTTGGTCTCTCTTATACTCAAAACATTTCTGGGCCATTACAAGTACCATATGAGCTGGACTAGGTAGCATACAGGGAATTAATTTTATTATTGTTCATCTTGGAATTTCTGAGATGTACATGTCAAGGGCCAGCTTAAATATATTTCTGCTTAGTGCTTAAGATCCTTGTTTTTCTGGGCAACCTTGCTTCAAACTCTTATGCCACAACTGCTAGCAGAGTTTCTACCAGCAAGTGGTAGTAATGAACAGAACCATTGAGATTTGATGTCAGTGGAAACTGATATTGGGTTGAGGTGAAAAGAACTAACAGGATTGTGACAAGGGGGAAACATTTTGATTCTTCAAGAGCACCAGTTATCACCAGAGAGAGATCAGTCAATATAAAGCAGATCTCCCATCGTGCTGTGAGGGCAGCATGACCAATAAACATTCCACCATCACTGGTTGGGAATGCCTCTGACCACAAGTTTGGCAGCATTCCCTATCCAGTCCTTCTATTCTTGTAAATACACGACGTACTCATTTATTTTCTTTTAAATTTAGAGTTGAGATCTGCCTTGAAGTAGGCTCAGGCTCTGGTGTGGTTTCAACATTTCTGGCTTCCATTGTTGGACCCAAAGCATTATATATGTAAGTAGAATACCAAAATTTTAAATTACTGCATTGACACGACTCTAAGATAACCCAGATCTTAAAATTACCCCCCCCAAAAATTAGATTCTATACATGGAACATTTATACATTTGTTATAATTTTCCATGTACAGAACCTAATTATTGGGGCGGGGGGTCATGTTTAATTTATTGCCCTCCTCGCCACTGTAGGTGGGTAGGCAGAGGGAGGCAGGTAGTGGGATGTCAAGCAACTTGCCATCTGCTTGTGCCTGCCACGTCTGCCCCTGCCTACCTCCCATCTTCCTCCCCCCAGCTTCTGTCCCCTTCTCCCTCGTCTAGCCTCTGCTTCTCTCTCTCCTTTAATCTTGCTCTGTACAGGCAGGCCCTGGCCCTATTCTAGCCTGGGGCACTGAACATGGCCCCGGCTTATCCCTGTAGCAGCCATGTGGGCTATATGATGTTGCTACAGGGCCAGGCTGGGGCCATACTCAGTGCCCCAGGCTGCAGCCTGCATAGAGCCTGCTAGCATGGAGCAAGGGTAAGGTGGGAAGCAGGGGTTGCACGATGCGGAGGGAAGATGGCCAGGTGCAGAGTGGTGGGGAAAACAGCAGCTCTGGCTACAGCCGTGACCCCAGGATGGGGTTGAAACCCAATCCACAGCAGCTGCCTGCACCCATTGCCCTCATACTCAATTCTAAGATGAGGGGCTTCCCCCCACTTCCAGTGTTAAATGAAGTAATTGGTGCAAATTTACCAATCTTACCACTACAAAAACCTAACATATGTTGTAAACAGAATGAAGATCCACTATGGATTGATTTTTTTTTTTTAACATTGGAGAAAAGAAGATGTAGAATGACCTTACAGTTTCAGAAATAAAGTAATTAATATGTGTGTGAGAATAATTAAGCAGTTAGCTATTATGATACCTTAGTTACTTGCAAACTAAAGGCTACCACTAATAACTTTTCTTGGGAGTTCCCAAGAATTAGGTAATTTGATTAAATAATGAGATTAGTTCAGGTAATACTGGAAGTTTGAGAAGACCTCATATAGTAATGAATCACTTTTCTAGCAATGTTAATTAACTGGAAGGTTTTGTGTTTAAAAAAACCCTATCAGTTGGGTTTTGCTTGTTAGTGAGACAACTGCATGTTGTTTATTAATAATACTTCGAGATTTAAAAACATTACACAGGAGCAGATTTTTTTTTTCTTGTTAGCTTTTAAATATTTAATTTACAGTACAGTAGTTATAGTTTTCAGCACTGCATTATCTGGTGTTTGATTATCTAGAATGATTGTGGTGCTAATTATTCCAGATAATCAATGTTCTACTTTAATAATATTCAATAGATTCTTTAGTTTAATTTTTTTTAATTGTACCTTTTCTGTATGAGCATACACATTGAAGTTCTTACTGGCTTTTGTTCAATTACATCTTTTTTCTCTCTGTTTAAGTAAGAGATTATACCTGCTCCAAAGAACTTTAGACTGTTTTGATGTTGTGTAGTGCAACCAGATCTCAATTTAGGTAGTGTCCTTTAGGTGATACTACAACAC